AGAATTTCCACAGTCAATTTAAACTTAACAGCCTTTATAACACACACAATAAATCACAGCGATTCACAAGCTCGATAACTTCACTCTATGTGACAACTGCAAAACACAATTTATGGCTCAACGTCACTACTGTTCGGTTGACTCAATTATCTATATCTTCTATTCCACTGGTTTTTCTCGCCAGGCTTATATACTAAAAAGAGGGCATCTCGATTGCACTCGTGCCTTCATGAACATTTGAGATATTTCACGCACGCTACCAGCGTCAAATGCACCAGCAGCATCACATGACTTCCGTTGTCGTAACAATATCAAAAACAAATAGCGTTAAATGAAAAGTTTCAGGTTTTCATATAGCTTGCAAATAGGCTCCCATGAAGTGCATAGAAGTCTAAATTTAACTTGAATTAAATATTTCTTTATCAAAAATGTTTTATAAGATTATACAAGTTTATCACCATAATTGTTTTTGAAAAGGTAAAGCTCATCTACACATTTTTCATCTTTCCATGGTCTGCACGATATATTATAACTTGAAAAATATCATCTGATATGTTATAATGTACGTTAACAGGTGAGCTTACCTTTTATGATTTTAGCACTCTTCTGTACTGCTTCTTCAGGACTTTTTCCCATGACTGCTAATGTCATCAAGAGTTCCTGATAAGCTTTCAAGGCAAGATGAATTCTGCCAAACATTTAACGTGAAAAACTGAGATAAGTTTCTTTCAAAAGCAGTATTGTAGAAAGTAGAAATGCAATGTATTTAAGGCTAAGAAACTAAAATCCTCTTTGATGATCTAGATTTAAATGTTCCATTGTAACTAGAATTGCATCACAATGGCTGAAAGAAAATTCATAAATTTATGCAAATAAGTCTGATACAACTTCAAAGAAATATCACCATTAAATCAATCTTTAAAGCATTAACAAGAAATGTAATAAAATTACAAGTTTTAGAGAAGTATGCAAATCATGGCTTCAGTAGGAATAATGAATGTTTAATTATTTGAAAATAAGATAATTTATACTAAATCATAGATAATTCTATGATTCTATAAATATTTCAAAAGTGATAATTATTTTTTATAAATATATATATATATATATAACTTGTTTAGCTTAATTATTATACAATTTTCCTAGAATTATTAGTACCCCTTCACAGAAGAAAACTTTAAGGAAAATTTAAAAACTAAGTAAGGGGTTTAGAAATTCAAAAAATAAACTTATTTTAAAGTCAAGCATTACAGTGTGTAACAAGCCAGCTTTATTCCTCAATGTTATTAGTGATGTTTTCATCAAATGGAATTAAATAAAAAACACCATGAATTGAATATAAAACACTAATACAGAGGTTAAGTAGGTAATATCAAAATGACTTGGGAGCCTCAAGACATCATTAAAGTCCATGGTCCCAGTCTGTATGTGTTTTATCTGAAAATCATGGATCTTGACAACAGCCCTATAGAATAGTTTCAACAGAATAAGACATCCTCTTTAGTATGTTTGTTTGTTGTTAAGTGCAAATATACACAACAGGCTCTCTGTGCTGCACCCAAATCTGGTATCAAAACCTGGTTTTTAGTATTATAAGCTTTCAGACTTACTGCTGAGGTACTTGGGGGGCAGCTCCCTCTTAAGGCTATTACTGAAAAAAAAAACATCACTCTTCTCTACATGCTTTTCACAATCCATTTAGTGTACAAAGATGACATTTTCCAGCACTCATGTCAACTGTCTGGTCAAACAGAAATCCATAGGCAGTGCATGTGGCAACCTGACCAGTATGTCTTCATATGAAATAGTATGAATACCCATATCATATAGTTCAGCCGGTTGAAAGCCTGAGGTATATGATGGTTGAACAGATATGCCATGGAAGAAACATTTGCCACTTTTCCAAACATTCTTCTTGATTATGTTGCATACCATTGCCTGCAGCAAGTGGACGACTTTTGGCATTGGCCTTTGTTCTCATGGATTCTCACCTGTTACACGACACCATACATTTCTTACCACAGCTCGAGGTATGACATGTTGTAGGTCTCTTTCTGGATAGTTCTGGTGCCCAAAATTGACCCATATTCCTTTGTTTTCCAATGCCATTAAGTACAAAATATATCGCCATCTTAGAAATTTTAAATCCCTAACCTGAAAAATCTTTATAATACGAACGTATGAATATTTTTCATTGGAAACAGTTGTTAGAAACCCTTACCAAAAAACCAATAAATTTTTGATTACATCACACTATCCTGAAAAAAAAAAAACATTTTAAATGTAGTTCTGATACATGATATCCACTGAAACTTTATATTGGTAGTGGCTATCATGTGACTTAAATATTTACATATTCAAATTTGTTTCACTATATTGTACCCAACCCTTTGTACTATGCTGAATTGTCATTCTAACTTGTATCACATTCTGGCAGATTTTTAATTTTTAATCTTTAGTGTAGGTTTTTGTATTATCAAATTTTCCATGATTAATTTTTTAAGCAAAAATAATTTCCAAGATTTTAATAGATTATTTATATCTTGATCACCATTAAACAGGATAACTTAATGACAATAGATTACTGCCCCCAGAAACAACTACGACAAGAAAATTTAAAGAAAAAAAATTACCTTCTAGACCACAGAACCAACTTTCGCTTATCTGTCATCATCATTTCATAGTAGTTCTCTAGTTGGGTGTGGATGTAATGAAATACCTGGATAGACACTGTCTCACTCACAAAGCTCACATTAAAAGAATATAAGCGATTAAACTCCATGAAGAATCTCATTGCCCATAAATAATACGTTTCATCATGTGCTTGAGCCCTCTGTCTTGAAAGGTTATCCTGTGATGAAATAAAAAGTACTTTTGAGCAGTTCTTTTCACAGTGAATTTAAGACATTTTTAAACTAATGATTTTTCTGGAATATCACATTAGCAAAGAAAATATAATCTATTGGAGCAATACAGTAACTATCTTAAATTAATTTTCTTTTAATTCAAATTTAAATTCTCTTTAGTTTAATTTTTATACAGCATTTTTTTTTTTGCTGCAATATTTATTACATGCTCATTTAGCTACATAGGTTAATCACATTTTATAAGAACAAAATGCATGTGCTACTGTAGTGGCATATCACCACATGTGCACAGTGGCACCATAGATAACATGTTTAACACCTGTATATGTGACAGTGCAATACCCCCAAGAATATTTCATGACAATTTTTTGATTTTGTTTTAATTATTTTAAATACATTCTACTCTTAACTTTTATACCAGTTATTTTTTTAAGAAGAACCTGGCAAAAATACTAATTCATCAAGCAAACAATATAATCAGTACATATGAATTATTACATAAATAACCTAAAAAAACTTTTGCCTAAAAATGTTTTCCCAGGAGGCATTATAAATCATAATATTTATGACTATTTGAATGGTATGAAAGTTCGTAATCAACCACATTGGAATTTTACTGTACAAAACATTATTTTAGTTATTCCATATACAGGTAAAAATGAAATTTTAATTAGAAATCAACTATATTAAATTGTGCCACTGTGCTTAACTTCAAGCTGAATTAAAATGTATCTTTTAACTTTAAATGTAGATGGAAACAATTTTTCATACTTGAAAGATATAATATGTATATTAAAAACTTTAAATGTTGTCCATGAATATAAATGTCTTAAACATTTTTTAGATTATACTGGATCCATTACTAGGTGGCTTTAAACTCACATATAATATGCAAATTGGAAATCAATGTTATTTTCAGGTATAGTGAATCACGTACTAAACAAATGTAATAAGCTTATAAGTAAATGTCAGTTTAAAAGCCCTAGCAAAGTGAATAATACATCCCCTTACATATTTAAACATACTTACTAGCCATCAGACAGATTTTATGTTGATAAAAATACAGAAGATAATATTTATTAGACTTCAACCAAAATTAAGTGCACAACAGTGTAATTCATTTATTAGTAATATTGTAAAGAAATATTTTACAATCTTTGAGAATGAATATTTATATAGCAAAACTATTATAGATGTAAAATCAACATTTCAAAGAAGGAAGCCCTTAATGACATCAGAAAAAAAAAACTTTACATCAGGTCATTTGGAACACAAAGATCTACATAAAACTTTCTAGTAAATATTTCACAATTATAAATGAATTGAGGAGTAAAAATTAAATTGTATAAGCTTTAATGAAACTTTGACCATTAAATTTCTCTACCTTTTTTATTTTAATAATTTCATAATGTCAAAGTAGGCAAAATAATTTTGCTGATAATCCCAAAAATGTTGTGTTTTTGTTGATTGATACAAAACTAACTCTAGGAATTTGGTAGAGAATACTCACCAACTATCAATATTGCCACAAGAAAAAGAAGAATTACTGAAAACAAGACAAAGCTTAAATATACTTTCCTTAACAGTTGAGCTCTGTCAGCAAAATCATATTTTGCCATGTTTCTACAAATCAACACCAAAAGAAACAAGTATCTGAATTTGAATTTTAAGTATTTTGGGTTTCTATCCAGAAACTACAAGTGCTTTAAAGTATTGAAATGTGATGCCTACAGTAACTTAAAAGTTAATCAGAAACTCCTGATGTCATACATGTGAATAAAAAAAGCTAGAAAGATGAAGTATTGAAACTTAAAAATTATAAATATAAGTTCATCACTTACAATTATATAATGCTTCTCTTTTATAAATTGAAAGCCACCTGATTTGGAAAAAGTAAAAAAAAAAAGCTTTACCTTAGTCATTTAGCTTAAAAGAACTAAAAGTTTCATAATTGTGCAGACATATCCACACGTAAATGATTAAGCAGCAGATCTCCACCAATAGGAGCATGACACAACTCCTACCATAACCGGCATCCTCTCCATAGTTGCATTTGTTAACCACTTGAAGATTGGTTAGAAGACCTACACCACATATCACCTGAAGTGAGGAAGCTGGGTGGGATATGTGAACGGAGGTAAGTATCTATCAGAAATACAATTTCAGTTTAGGAATATGTTAACTTCCAATACAATATCTTACATCCACCCACAAAATAACTAGAATTCCACATTAAACTGGTGGAGGGCCAGTGAAAAAATTATCCTCCTTTAGGAAGCACCCAAAGAGAGACCATGATGTGTGGAACCAAAAAAGAAAATTTCACATCTCAGCAGGAGACTGCACTACATCTGATCCAGGTATATTCTTCTCTCTTTTATGACTGTGTCACAAACATAAAAGGCAGAAAAACAGGAAAAAATCCCATAATACATATTACCAGTTAATGGGACCCTTGAGTGTTGAGTGGCTAGGGCATGACAAACTGTAGTGGTAGTTCAACCTCATCCAACACCTGGCGGAATCTGGAATTGTAAAACAGTTCCGCGATAGGCAGAAGATCACCTATCTCTTCATCTCGAAACAGAAATTGGTAGGAAAGATGAACTTCTGTACCAAAATCCAGCCCCACTTGCATGCATTTCCAACCCAACAACACATGTTCCACCACAAACCAATATCCAGCTGATGGTAGGAAGAAGGAAAGTCTCAGTGGGATAACATCTATGGTCCAAAACCTGTTGGCATTGGGTACGGTTCTTCCAGACCATAGTAGGAGGAGGATACCCAACTGTACACAAGTAGAAATACATGTGCTGTACCCAGCTACAACTGACACCAGATCCATCGGGAACCAACATCCAGCAGACGGTAGGTACAGAAACCGAAAACTTCAGGTACATTTCCAGTCCAAAACCTGGTGGCATTGGGCATTTTTTATCCAGTCTGCAGTAGAAGGAGGGATACTTGCCAGAACACATGTTAGGATTTGGTTAGCTGGACCGTGTACAACGGACACCCGACCCCCCCGGGAACACATCCAGAGGATGGTAGGTAGCATTTGTACATCAGGTCCACAGTAATAACGGCATCACACCATCGAAACATGATTCTAATCATGACTGGGCCAGCTCCAACCAACACCAGACCCACTGGGAATGTACATCCAAAGGATGGTAGGAAGGAGGAATGCCATGGTGGGAAAAAACAATCTGTCAGATATATATATATACATTAATACAGCTTAGTGCTACAACCAAACCTGGCGGTATCTGGAACTGTACATCAGGTCCACAGTATGAAGTGCTATATGCCATTGACACCCACAAAATGCCATTTTCCTTCTCTCAACTGAGTGGTATGATGCATCACTCAGGAGGACAAGCCTCCCATGGTCCACCACCTCAACAGCTAGAAACTGGTAAGTAGCAAGGACTCCCACACTCCACTAGAAAGAGTGCAATGGGTGACTGTGATACCCTATTTTGAAAAGCAGAGCTACCTTGTCGACGGAGTCGAACAGCCAACACCCAGTAGGAAGAGTCTCAATGCCAAGCATCAGAGATGGACAGCAATACCTGTCTACTTTACTCATATATGTCCACAAGTGTACAATCTCAAACAAACAGATTTATGAAGCAAAAGACCACTAGAGAGAAATACTAGTGGTCCTATGGAAAACCCTATCTCTACGGCATGCTTAACCTAATCCTGTGAAGTAATCGTTTCAACATAGATGACATTTGAATGAGACACACAACCACAATTGGTGACATCTGGATTTGTACCTCAGGCCCATGGTAGGAAAAGCTACAGCATAATTGAGATATCAAGTATGGTCACAGAATGGACAGTGCAGATTTAAAAAAAAAAATTTATACCTGGTCAGGCATAACTCACCACAGTGTGGGATCCACAATATACTAGCAAAAAGGTCCCTGTAAATAAAGAAATAAAAACATAGTAAAAAAACTCAATCTGTAGTATAAAGGAAAAGATCAACAAATTTGCAAGCAAAAACAAGCACGTCTGTACAGTTCTACTGCCAATCGAGAAGTGATTAACGAGTGCAAATGATAGGGGTTGTATTGCACTCCTATTGGTGGAGAGTTGCTGCATAGTCATTTACATGTGGATATGCAAAAGCAAGAGGTGGAAGGCTATTGGCAAGTGTTGAAAATTTGCATCAACGGAAGGCGGTGTTAGTCAAGAAAAGCTATTTTGTGAGAGGAAGTCAAATATTGTATCGGAACTATTTTTTTCCCCTTCCTTTCATTTGAAAACATTATACCATCTAGTCAAATCCCATTACCCCTACTTCTTAGGAAAAAAATCTATTTAGTGTATATCATGGAATGCATTAATGTCTAATGTAATTAACTATTTGAATTAACTTGTAAACAACATGAGTTTTACATACAATGTAGTGACCTCAAGTTCACCACTGTATACATTATTAAATTATAATTATTTTCTAAATTAAAAATCTCCTTGAGATTTTCCTGAAGCCTTTAATTACTATATATTTTTTACAAAAGGCATTCAAGCTCTATTTCAAGTACAATTTAGTGACCAAAAAGATTTATTACGTTAATAATGACTAGTAAAAATTTTGTTTCATATAAAAAATAGTATTTGTTTTAACTCCTACACTAAATTTGAATTAATGCTATGCCATACCTTCAAAAATAAATACATAATTTAAAACAATTTCAGGACAAAATGTACTACTTATTAGAAAGCTCCAGTGAAAAGCTGACAAGCTAAATAGCAAAGATGAAACAGTTTTTTGAAATGTGTTTACACAAATTAAAATATTTCCAGTAATTTCACTATATCTAATACATGTTTTAAAATACTAACCCTACTTCCTAACTGTATTTTCTTCAACCATTATATCAAGTTACTGGTAGATTTCAATTCTGAATTATGCAAACTCAGACTGTTAGTTTCTCTTAAATAAACTAAAAGACCACAGCATGTACCTTCAAAGCTTATTTTAATAAAATTTTAACTTCATAATTAGTTCCTCATTATTTTGAGTTGTTCTTTATGTTACTAGTGTCTGGTACATTTCCACATGATTGTTAATACTTTTCATAGCATACACACTTTTAATATTAAGTCAACTACAAGGCTACTAGTTATGAAAGACACAATACATTATCTACTGAATATAAAGATATTGACATCTGAAAATTGGATGTAATAAATTTCCAAAATATTTTAACTAGTCTTAGACTCTTAAGTAAAATCTTCAAAGATATTTGTGTTTGTACCATATGGTATATTATCTTGTGAATCAAACACAGCTTACAGTGAGTGCCATATCTAGAAGTAAAACACTGTAATAAATACTTTTGTGCACAGCACACACAAACTACCATACAGACAATAACATAATTTTCAACTCATGCTAGCTTTCGATTACACTTTTCATAATGATAAGTTTGCAAGAAAGTAGGTACACGTGCTTGTCTCAAGTAAGTGCCTTTCAATTTTTCATTTATTTGAAGATATAAACTATGATTTTTCTTACATATTTACAATAATCATATCTTCTATTTCAAATCATCACTACCCATTCAAGTAACAAAACTTAGCAGTATTTCAAAAATAACAATTTTAAACAGAATATACTCTTTAACTAAATAAATTGGACTATATATGGAATACTTTTACCTTCAACTTTTTCAGCAATCAAGAAGTATTATCTGAACTTGAAACTAACTTTTTTGGCAAATGTGAAATGTTTGTCAGTTACTTTAAAAGTTACTGGCAAAATAAAAACTTGTTTTATGAAATTTACCATCTATTTACATTATGAATTTGAAGATTATGCTGACATTGCCTGAAAATTTATTGACAATTTGTGTCCCTCCATTCTTTGTCTTAAAATGTTTATTTGAGTGAAAGTCTGTTCTGTGGAGTCATTGACCAGAAAACCACCATCTATTAACTGCTTTTTTAGTTTGCCATTTCCCTTATTCTTCAAAACTATTAATAGTAATCTTCATAAACTGGACAGTGGCATTTGTGTCCATGTCCAGGTTACAGTACTAATTTCTTTTTATTCTCTTCATGGTGGTGAAGTCCCTGTTACAGCAGTAAACTGGAGTGAATATTGCAGAGATGCCCTACTTTGAGAATGTTCTTAAAGACTTCTCTGTCAATATCATATTGGCTTATACACTATCACACAGACAATAGACAAATGACAGCAAACAGATGACCAATATGCCCAATGTATGTCTTTACCACTGTTATTTCACCTACAAAAGCCTTGGTGTAACAGACACAAATGTGTAACATTGTGCTGAAATGAGCAGTGAGATGTTGATTCTGGTAAGGCCAGTACTTTTGGTCACCTCTAAAAACATTTGCCCAAGACATCATTGATAGCTAATGACATTTTGTTTTTGTTAACTCTCAGACACTGGTCAAGACACTGGGCTGTAATTTCATTGAAACAACAAAGAAACTACTGATTTCTCTATAAAAATATTGAAGTAGAATTATGTAAAAACCAATTATACTATTTGAATTTACTATGTAAAGAAGTCCATGCACTATTGCCCTGTCTTCTCCAAGAACAATTATGCCTAGCCATTATTCAGACGTTTGGAAAGAGCAATTTGGTTATGCTCTATCAATCTTGTTCTAATAGAACTACTGGGCTTTGAGAAGTAATCTTCCATTACTTTTACTACCTCATTTACATCTCTATGCCTCTTTGAAGAATTTCTGTTGAACAGGAAGATGGGTTTCAATTACTATTGTTGGGTATGACACCTTAAAAATGTCTGTCAGCATGAGATCCAACATATGGGCCATACAGTGTATTTGAACAAACCAAGGTACATCTGTGCTAACTGTGAGCCTACACTATGTCTAATGCAGAAACTGACACTTGCACAATCCACTCCAAAGCCTATTCTCTTGGATTTAAGTTACTTAGACTAAAAACAAATCTTGGAATGCCACTGCCAATGTTTCCAGAACCCTCTGAGGTTTGGCATTTTTAATATCCACAAACCTGAGCTGTGCAATACGAAGATAAGCTTTTATTATACAAACATACAATACTTCTTTTTCTGTGCTATCAATCATAAAAAAAAAAGAAGTCAGTAACTTGTAGTTGTTGTTGTCACTTATCATGCATAGTACTAGCAATTTTAGTGATGAACATCATATATTGCTTTATAATTGCAATAGGTTGTGCCCATTGAGATATCATTGTCTACCTGAAGTTCTGTCCTGAAATGCTTTTCTATTTTATTAAATATTGTTACGTCTCCGTTTGTTAATTAACTTCCCGTAACTTCGTTCCGACGAAACTTTAGCGACACAAGTATTTGCTTAATAAAACTGGTTTATTCTTTCCGAATATAACTTTACCGATACACTCAACTTCAACAATCGCGCTAAACAAACGCTGTAACGTCTCTCGTGCTCTCTGACTGCAGTTCAATTACTCACTATCTATACACACATTACCTTCATCTCGCGTCACGTTGTCCCCTCTTATATATACCAAACTACCCTATATCTAGCAAATACTAGAGCATTCGCCAAGATACGGGATAGTTCTAGAAACGTGGCGTCACTGTAGTCATGTGATCTCGATGACGCAACAATATATCAGATTCACATTTTTGCAGACATTCTTCTATATCTCCTGACTCATTTCTTTTTCTTCATCATGAGCAATAAATGCACTTATGTAAGCATCAGACTTCATGTGCTGTTTTCCAGCATCCTTTTTAAAATTCTTGGTTCTAACAATAAACTGTGTTGTTTTATTGGGGCAGTATTGTTAACATACTATATTTTGCTGTTATAGTTTATAAATAAAAAATTATCTGTAGATGTGTTGTTTGAATACATTACTCTTTAATAACCACAAGTTTTGTAAGGAAAAAGGACTTTGATCATCTGAATAGTTACAACTGCAGGCCTATCATACCATACTCATTAATATATTATCAAGTTTTAGTTCTATGTTTGTGATAAATGTTGTGCTTGCAGCCACCTTACTTTTTTAATGATTTTGACCATTGTGTACAACTGTTCTAAATATTTGTAGTCATACCTGGATTATAAATTGATAAAAAGAAGCCAATGCTCCTTGAATATCACTGGACATATACTATAACTCAGTGGTCTTTTTTCGACTAGCAATCACTAATTTCAAGCCTGAATAATTTATGAATAATTAAACACATAAAATTCTCACTGCTTTAGAAACTTACATAATAGATATTTTACAAACATTAAAATAATTCATACCTTTACAGAGAACATGAGAGAATTATAAGCGCTGTTCAAAAATTCCACACAGAAATCACGCAAGAAAAGACGAATGCTCAATGTAGACCTTCTGGTAATGTCAAAATCCTGCTGAGGTCTCCTGTTTTTGGGCTTTTTTCTAAAAGCTTTGCCTTGATCAAAATCTAAAAATTGATTATCAGTCAGAATTCGATGACAAATTACATCCCTGTCACTGACGGACTTGACATTTCTTACATAAAATGTTCCCCCAAACCTAGAATGCCTGAAATAAATATAAATAAGAATACTAGTTTTCATCTTCCTAAAAATGTTTTATAAGTTTGTCATAAAGGTTTTCAGTAATTAACTTGACCATCAAAAATAATTTTAACATGATGAGCTTTGCTTTCTTATTTATTAGTAATAAAGCCAATAGAAATTATTATAAATTTTATTAGGTCTGTTTACCAGTTCCATTTTCAATGTTAAATTATAGGAAAAATTCACTATATCAACTATAAATTGTTCTCAGTTTCCAAAGAAACAGAACTGAAATTTAAATGTGAATATCAAATCTTGCATTTAGTTGGAAATATTTATATTGAAATATTAAGTTATTAATAGTTACGTACAGCAACAATGAAACACTTTTAAGGACAAGTATACCACCACTGAACAGCTGATATAGAGTAAAAATGTCCCATGTAACCAACTCATGACAGTATTAATCTTTAATGGCTATACATTATTACCTCTGCCACCAAACATGATGGAGGTTATGTTTTCACCCCTGTTTGTTTGTGTGTTTGTCAGCAAGATTTCTCAAAAACAGCTCAACAAATTTGGAAGAAAATTGGTATACATTTGAACTATGACCCAACTTAGAAGTATTTAGTTTTTGGAGGGTCAAGATCAAAGTTACAGCAAGGTCACGGAAATAAACAAAATCCCTATCTGTTAACATGGGGACAGATTTTTCACACTGTTTTTGCTCTATAATGCAGTCAAAAATGACCAGATTTTCATCAAAATTGATGAACATATTTAGAATATTATTATTCTTTGTCCTGCTGAAAATGGTCCATGTCTGCTGATAACAACGGGCATACAGACACATTTTTCTTTTCTTTTCTTTTTTAATGTAGTAATTTATGATTTTATAGTTATTCAAAGTTATGCAACTTAACAACACATTAATTTTGAAAAGAAAAGTATTCTTCACTTAACTGGTTTTAAGTGGAAGTAGTAGTTACATAAGTATGTTCAATATTTCATTAGTTTATATTGCTTTATAACACAGAAACTGATAAGCTATTAACAATGTAAAAACATTTGCTGAGGTAGCAAGAAAAGAATAAAAAAAAAAAGAAATTCATGGTCAAAATTAAAATTTATAAGGAAATAGATTATTCACATATGAAAAATTTGTGACAAAAACATCTACACAGAAGCACTCAAAATAGTAAAATAAATTATGAAAAATATGGTTAAACAAACTCAGACATACATCAATGCCAAACAAAAGAAACAGAGAATTTAAAACACTTCTGAACATTCCATATTAATTACATTAGTACCTATCTAACTATACAATAGATTATTACTAATAATAAACTGAATATGATCTATAAACAACACAAGTATATATATATATAAAATAAATTCAGCAAATCAGAAGCCAGAGCATCTAATTAATATGTACAAAATTGACTATTCAACCATTTCGAGACAAATTTACAAAGAAATTATAATCAAAATTAAATAAATTGGGCTTTTGGACTAATGATGAAAGAATACTTGTGATTAAAATTTATAAAACATTGATAAAACCAATAGAAACACTATATATCTTCCCTCAAACGATTGGAGAAACCTAACAAATAATGTAAGAAATATTAATAAACGTATATTTCTAGGAACATTTAAACCTTGGTCAATAATGTTGTATGGTCAAATTAGTTCCTATAACATATCTTGCAAATTTGTAAGTCATACCGTCCACTCAATTTCAGTTGGTTGATTTTCTTTTCTGCCTTCTCTTGGTCCCTTATATTCGTAAGTTCCCTAAAGTAAAGGTTTAATATATTTGTAGCATAAATTAATCAGAGTAAACACTTTAGTATGTGTAATCCAGGTGACTTAGAGTCCACTAGTAGGTAAATAATTAATAAACTGAAAGATAAAGCAAAGTAACTGTTAGTTCTTTGGAATAAGGTGTTGTGGGCTTATCCTTCAAATATAATGGAGATCAATCAAGGTCACGTGTTTCTGAAATCTTATTAACATGCATCATACACTTAAAATGTCAATGGCAAAAGTGCAGAAAATAGCAAATGAAACATTTTATACTAAAATTACTAAAATTTTTCCTGAAGAACAATATAAATGTAAATGAAATAAGTACCCTAATAGTATTATGAAATTATGGCAATCAACAGCTGTATTCAATGTGCTGCCAATATGTGACAAATTCCATATACTGTCAATATTAAAAGGTTAAAATTCAAGGAATTTGAGTATATATTTAAAATACTAAAATCCATAAATGACAATGTTTAATAATACAGAATTAAAATCTTTATTTAACCCAATCAATGGTTGTAAAAGTTACTGAACATGTTTCAACATGGTTTCACATAATTTGAAACATGTAGAGTGAAAAAACACAGTAAATGAAACAAACTGTCATAAGTCTGATATTAGAGAAACTAGTTTTGACACAATCGTGCATCCTCTTCAGTTTCCTTCTGGCAGGAAAAAACTTAAAAGATCACTTTAAACTTAACAACTTCCTGTGTCCTTAGGGGAATTCCAAAATCAGGGGATCATGTAGATGATTGTTGACCAGTTTTTTCCTGCCAGAAGACAAAGTGAGACTGAAGAGAATGCACAAATGTGTCGAAACTAGTTTCTCTAATATCAGACTTCTGACAGTTTGTTTCGTCTATTGTGGTTTTTCACTAACTGCTATACACAATATTGTGTTCTTTTATTATTAAGTAGAGTGACTTTTGCATCCTCTTCAGTTTCATGTTGTTTTTTGGCAGGAAACAACTTAAAAGGTCACTTTAAACTTAACAACTTCCTGTGTCCTTAAGGGAATTCCAATATCAGGGGTCACGTAGGCATTTGTTGACCAGATTTTTCCTTCCAGAAGACAACGTGAGACTCAAGAGGATGCACAAATGTGTAGAACTAGTTTCTCTAATATCAGACTTCTGACAATTTTCCTTTTACAGTGGTTTTTTCACTAACTGCTATAAATAATATTGTGTTCTTTTATTATTACGTAGAGTGACTTTTACAACCATTAATCAGTTTAATTAAAGATTTTAATTGTGTATTATAAAACGTTTTTTCGTTTGCAGATTTTAATATTTCATTGTCAGTATTTGTTCTTCTTCTTTGCATGCCTGTATAATAACCATATGAAACAAGCCTGTAGTATGCAGCCTTTTTTTTTTAACCATTTGGGGCTCTTCAAAGGTTCATTGACATTAACTTTATCTTGCCACTCACTCAAGCAATCATTTACTAGGATACAACAATACTTATATTTGTTATTTTAAAAGTTCGATTTTGCTATAAAGTTAATATAACGATCTTATAATGTTGTACTCGATGTGTATTTAGTGGCTAATTCAAATAATATTTTTGGTTTTAAATGAAACAACTTATGATCAAATTGATGGACTACCTGTGGGTTCCAAAATTGCTTGGCTGTAATTTGGCCAGTAATTGCATTACTATTAAAGTTAAGTATTTTGGAAATGATTAATGATTTTAAGCAAAGTCAACAAGCAATCCTTCACTTACTTTATGTCTTTTTCTTTCTCTGATTGGGGCCGAGCTGATCCAGTTAAAGCAAGTTGTTCAGCTTTCTAAACCAAACATTGAAAAAATTACTCATCTAAAGATATATTTCCTTCTATCACTATACCTCGAATACTCTAATCAAATATTTTTAAAAGCTAAATACAAAAAAACATCATTAAAGTTGAACATCTTTTGTTCTTAGCCAAATTAGTAAAATTTCAAACCTATGTACTCACTTGTTCTCTAAACATGAGAGATATTATTTCTAGTATGTGAAAACAGAACTGGTCTTCTTCTTCTGAGGTTGCTATATAAAGCAAAAGATCTTCCATTCCTGATAGATGTAATGCCCTGATTTCAAAAAAAAAAATTCAAAATATCATAAAGTAACTCTTTAAAAGGAAATTTAAAAAATTAAATATCTAAGCAAATACATTAAAACGTGGCATTTAAAAATAAAGATATTGATCTACTTGGAGACTTTAATATAAGAATTCTCCCTCAACCAGAAGTTTTGGTGGCAGGGATCACACATAAAAAATCTGGGATTTATCGAAATTTGTAGGAAACTTATAAAGGATGTAGCATACAATAAAATATGACAATTACAAATTAAAGTTTCAAAATCAAGTGAAAGTAGACTTGGTTGTGACTGGCCATATCATCAGCAGAAACCCCACAATTAATAACAATACTTCTTGTTGTGTAACCTATGGGTCTGTCACGTGAGCCTTCCTTTTCTTCACTCATCATTGCATCTGTTTATCAGAACAAAGCACAACAAATATTCAACAGATGGCTCAAAGCTCTGCTGACAGTGACTGAAACTTTGCTACTCTTTGACATATCATCATTAATCACCATTATTCCCTCTATTACATGCATGTGCAAGGTTCCAAAACATTTGACTAGAAAGCTGTGCAGCTACTATGGAGATGACCATGATAGACTTTTTGAGACAAATCCTTCTATCAAGCCCAAAGATGCTGTAGTAGCACTCAAAAATAGGTTTGGTGCTGACAAAGACATTACTGATAGCAATAGCAGCTTTCCACTAGACCAAAAGATCAAGAACAAGGTCTCCAACCTCAGACAGACAATGAAGATTGCATAGTTTGATTTAAGAAGCAGAAAAATAGATAATAATCTGTGTATGTTAACACTGCTAGTAAAGTAGTATGATCACTCCAAAACCCTGTGTCTCTTTGATTATTCATTACTCCCGACTGAGATATATTACCATCATATGGATTGCATATTTGGATAAAGCAGATCCCAGACTTCCCAAAAATGTATTCAACACCTCCAAGATAAAATTACTGGAATTTCTTGTTTCTTGCCCTGCTACTCATAAACACTACTTCACCTTTGGTTGAGGGAGAGATCCTGTATTAATAGAAACTAAGTCAAGCAGTCATTAATGAGTAAACAAAGCATAAAACAAGAAAACTCAAATAAACTTTTAAAAACTACCTTCTAAATAAACATTTATTAAACAAGACAAATAAGTATACAAAAGAAAAAACATAAAAAAATGGAAAGAAGAAAGTACAAAATAATACATAAAAGCTTTCCGTATCAGTGGTTTTGCCTTTTGCTTTCTAATGATGTTTCAGCATACCAAACATTTACATTTTTAACATATTTTTTTCTTTTTCAATTATTACTTTGTTTCTTTATATTATCCACAAGAAAACATCTTAAAAGTGATTGTTTATTGTTGGTGTATTTCTTTAACTGGGTCTAGGTTTCAACTTATCAGCCTTTAATTCCTGAACACCAGTCTCCACATTATCTAAATTTCCCAACTCCCCAAATCTTCACAGCTTTCAACATGCAGTACAAAAAAGTACAAGTGAGTAACTTTTCATTTCTCCTTCTTGTCTGACCATTAGTGACTGCTTCTGCAGTCAGCTTTGAAATGTAAAGCCCATAAGATAGATCAACTTAAAAATTATAATTGTTTCCTTTAAATATGTTTTTTATGTGAATATAAATAGAATTTGCTTTACTAAAAAATAAATTTTGTAAAACACTTTTCCAGAGTTCAATAACAATGAACCCCAGCTATGTAATGTAACATGTAAATCATCAAATGAGAAATTGATAACTTTAATAAATATCATGATCTCTCTTTTTCTACAGAATGTTTTAAAAACCAATAATCTCTTTTCTAAAATATTGTAAAATTCATGTAAAACAATAAATTATTCATAGCAAGTTCACTACTACAACATCAGTTTTATAAAGCAAAATTTGAATAAAACACACCATAATATTTGATCGTGGACACTGACATCATCATCTGTACGTTTCTCTTCTGTGGGGTTTGCAGGAACATGCAGAACATTTCTAACCAAAATTAAAATTCTCTCAATCGTTGTTTTGTCTTCTTCTTGTCTCTGTTCCCAAGTCTACGTAAAAGAAAACAGTATGCATTGATAAATAAATAAAACATTTTAAACAGAACTTTAAATTTCGTGTTCTTAAGTAGGAATATACATTTACAAAACTTTTGCTACTCATAAAATGTATCAATAACTAGCATGCCACCATTTAGTGCTTAGTGTTTTTCTTGATACACTTACTTTTGTTGATTGTGAAGGAATTTATTTTCAAAACCTGAATAATGTTTACAGAATTTTCAAAAAGCATGGCTCTATGACTGAAAATGGGCACTTGACAACTAAAATATGACATATAACATCTACTGGTAGTTTGACGGATGACTATGCTCCAATATATACAGAGTTAAGAGGCTCTAAGAAGCATTAAGTATGTATGAATAAATAAATAAAACATTTTTAAACAGAACTTTCAATTTTGTGTTCTAAACTAGGAATACTCATTTACAAAATTTTTGCACCTCATAAATTGTATCAATAACTAGTATGCCACTATGCTGTGCTTTTCTCAGTGTTTTCTTGATAGGCTTACTCATGTTGATGGTGAAGAGAAACATTTTCAAAACCTTAATAATAAGTACAGAGCTCAAGGACTGAAAATGGGCACTTGACAACAAAAATATGATAAATAACATCTATTGGGAATTTTGAGGATGACTAGGCTCCAATATCTACAGTGTAAGTTGCTCTAAGAAGCCAAAGAAACCCTATGTTTGTTGTTGATCTGCTATGGAAGCATTTTAAAAATGCAAAATGTGAATTTTATTTTTATTTTGGATTATAAGCAGGAAGAATTAGTTAAAAGAAAAATATTTTTTATTGAAGGGATATAATGAGATATGTTTTTTTTTAAATCAGCCTAATAGAAAAACCATAGGCTTTCACTTGAGATATATAAAGCTTATTTTCTTTTTTTAAATACCACAAATGATAAGGGACCTAAACATAGCCTATCATAATCGCTAGTGGCTGGAAAGATTTCACAATGTTACAGCAATGCTGCAATAAGCTATAACAATATTCAAGTATATTGATATCCATAAAGTAAGAAACAAGTATCTACAAAACTGAGTTTCATAAATGTCTTGATGAGAAAAGAATTAACAATGACATCCCAGAAAACTGAAATAAAAAACAAGTGAACACATTAATAGTTTTTATTCTCACAGAGTATGTCTTCACTTAACTGGCCAGCTTCTGAATTCAGTAATGAAGACTCAAATAGCTCTTGAGGTGAAGCAACAGGTAAGAAGACGAGATTAAGAAAAATGAAAGTCTACCCAGGAAAATGGCTAAGGCAAGTATAATGCATGCACAGAGGACAAAGACTGAATCAAAAATAATGAAATACCCCAGTTAAGTCATGTAAAAAATAGTAACTGTTTCAGTGAAATACATGTTTTGTATATGTATAAGTGATGCTTTACTGGAAAATAAACTCATTGAAGAAAATTTTTCCTAAATTCAGTAAGAAAGAACCTCAGCAATGTAATGTAATATGTGATCATTAGATGATGAATAGATAATTTTAATATACCTCTTTTTTTCATGCTTTACTTCTGGTAAGGAACATACAGAATATTCTAAAATTCAATATTCACTTTTCAAAATCTGATTTACATTTACTCTCTATATTTGTGTATTTCTGTAAAATTAACACAAATACTTTATATATTCTCCACAGGATTACGTAAGTTAACATTTTTAACTATTACAAACACATCTCTAAATCTTAGAATAAGATACCAGTGATAAATTCCCTTCATTGGTTTGTAAATACCTTTGATGTTCATAAACAAGTGTACATGTTTCTAAAACTTGATCAGTTCTGTGTACTTCTTTCAGCACTCATAAAATACAGCAGATTGTTCTCAATCTATGATACAATTTATATTTACAATAATTATGCCCCTGGTTATTAGGCTAAAAGTCCTGTCCCTCTTGTTACAATTCAGTGCAAATGTCACTTAAAATCAACACCTTTAGGGAAGGCAACACTGTAAGTTCTCCTATTCTATAATATAAATAAAAGTGCAAGGCTGAAAAATATTAGTGTTTTGAAGAAAAAGTTATCTGGAATGTTGAAGTATATACGTAAAGCAAGGGAAAGCATAATTCCAGTGAGGAAAATCAGGTTACCCTGTATGTCCTGCTACCAGCTGCAGTTGGATATCGCTGCTCAGTAGACCAACCTAAATGGCATCTTCTTGAACTGGTAACATCCATCTGGTGTCACAAAGGCTGCCAATAACCTTTACTGAGGCTGATCTTAGTAAAGAACTTGGCCCCATCTAGTGTTGCCACAGGTTGCCCAAAAGTTTGGAGTTGAACTTCATCAAAAAGTTCAGCTTCCAGAAATCTATGCACAAGCGATTAAAGCCATCCCTCTTCTTCACGATTACTAGAACAGTAGGCTGAATTTGAAGGCTCAGTGATTCTGGTTTATAACATTACATCAACTTCTTGCTTCACCAGGTCTCTTATCATACAGGGCATCTAGCAGGGCTTCACCTTGATGTGGTCTTGATCTTGTGTTGCACAAGGTCTGTCTTGCCTGCTCTATCTGTGAAGACATCCACATACTGACACAGTAGATCTTGTACCTCTTTCCTCTGCTTGCCAGTTATTTCTTCATTGATGTTGACATCTTTGTACATTTCATCTCCACCCAACAGATTTAGGTCGACATCTTCTATGACAAGGCCACCATCTTCTTGTTTCTGTGTATACAACAGCCACACCTGCAATGTACATCTGTGCCTCATTGACTGTACCCATTAGGTCTTCTTCCCTCTCAAAGTACTTCTTCAACAGATTGGCATGGTAGATCATGGTCTTCAAGTTCACTTTCATCTTATAGTCCATTCTGTTAACCACTTGTTGTCTGTGGGTAGCAGAGTCAATACTTTTTTTTCAGTCCATTAAATGTCAATCCTTAGCTATCTTGTCATGGAAGTGCTTCTAACTGCCTTGGGCTGCATACAAACTTTCTTGAATGAGTTGACAGGTCTCCTCCAATCCGTTTCTGAGGTCCAACACATATTTGTATGTGTTCCTCTCTTCTGACTCTTCTGCTGTCCATAGTTCTTTCAATATCTGCATCAGACCTCACACTCTTCTCCTGTACAGTAACTCACTTGTGGGACTTCTCAGTATGCAAATAATAGCTCAGAAAATTAGCTCAGAAAAAAGGTTCTGAGACACTTTCAGTTGCTTTCACAATAAAACTTCATTCCTACCTTCAAACATGTAGGAAAGTGAATGAACAAAAACAAAAATATTTTCTGCAGCTTACCAATTGCAACAAGTCTCCAAGCCTTTTTGTTAACACTGCCCACACCTTAGCATCTGCAAAAGCCTGTTTATACACCTGAAGTTGGCCAACAACTTCTAAATATTGGTTTCTTGTTGTTTTTTCTTCAGGAAGCTCTTCATGGTAAAGAAGAAGGGCAGGATTGGTGATGTTCACAAGTAATCTAGTAAAAAAATCATGAATTAGTTTAAAAAAAATTAATTACTGATATTTGTGTAAATAGTTTACTGAAACTGGTTTAATATTCACAGGAAATTGTTACTAGTAATACATTACTGGAACTTTCATACATAAATGTGAAATACTGGATGTACAGAAACATACAAGTTAAAATTTACTGATTTTTTGTAAACATATTTTACAATCATTCTGTAGAAATTTTTTTTTGATATGTTACACTAAAAGTCAGTAGCTCTAGAATAAACTGATTACTACACATAATCAAATGTAAATATCATAATTACAGAATTAAAAGAAATTATTTCTTTTTCAACCAACTTGTTTAACAGATCTCTTATCATTTATGAATGTTTGATGGAGAAACACAAATGGAATATTTCTGTGTGAGTAGGTAATATAAGATTCACTTGAGAAAACTATTTTTCTTTAAGGATGTTCCCGAATGTTCTCAGGCATACACATACAAAAAAAAAACTTAATTTTCATAATTTAGGTAACTTCACAGCTAAAATGTACACTGGTCACACATGTAGTTACTTAAATTCTTATTCACAAATATTTATATGTCTTTGACAATTGGTCCTTTATTCATTTCTTATTATCATCAATGCAAAAAATTTGAGTGAAAATTAAAATAATTAAATATTGAGATAAAGTTTGCATCTTTAATAAAAACTTAGCAAACAATTAAAGAATTATGTAAAAGTCTTTTTTTCGTACACAAAAGACCTGTTACACCATGTTCCAGGGACACCATTATACCCTTTGGTATTCTGTAAACTCATATACAATATGCCCTGGGGGTGTATCATGTTTTTTTTTAGAGCACTTGGGAAAAATCCTCAGTAACCAGAAATAATAAGATAAATGAAACTGGATAAAAATCTCCTGATACTCCAAGGAATGGCAAAACAAGTCAAATGCATCAATTTTTTTTTAAGTTTTGAGTAATGAGAACATCCAAAAAGAGGAAGTGTTTTTCTTCTGTCTGTGAGGAAAATTTAGGTTTGAATGTAATAAAAATAAAAAAATAAATGTAAAGTTAATCATGCTATTTTGAACATTAAATAAGGAAACAGACAAAAAATCTTTTAAGCTGGTTAAAACTCTACAAGTTTACTATTTCCTGAGGGAGCTTAACAACAAAAACTGTTACTTATAAAATGCTTAACTCATTATTTCTTTTTGGATAATGTCAAAATGTAAAGCATAACTTTCCAAACACCCACAAGACTGATCTTCTCTTCAAACTTATCTTACTACCAAATGACTTATAGTTACAAAACATTTAGGTTTCTTTCTCCACTTCTAAAAACAATTCCAAGCAGAGTTTAAACTTCTTGAAACATTTTTCAGAAAATATTAAAAATAGAAACTTCTTGAGAAGTTTAGTGTTGAGTTTCTATGTGTCCTCATAATTCACCAATACTGTTCCCAAAAATTATAAATTGAACTTGTTTCAGCTATTCAGTCTCACTGTTACAAAAAAAATCATTCTGTTTCCAGTGGAGAATTTGCCTAGTGAAATTATTGGTGTTAAAATCAGCTATTCTTTAAATCCAACCGTTGCTAACTTTTTCTCATTTTGGTTTGTTTGTTTGAAGTTAAGCACAAAGCTACACAAAGAACTATCTGTACTCTGCCAACCACAGGTATTGAAACCCAGTTACTAGCGTTATAAATCTGCAGACATATTGCTGTGACACTGGGGGGGCTTCTCATTTTGGACAAACCTATTTATCAACCTGAAAAGTTAAAACCAATCACTACAATCAGAATATAGAATTTATTGTTACTTTTCACTGAAATTACCAGATCCCACATTTCCTTTACATTTTAAACTTCCAGCTTTCAAACTTATAATGAACTTTTTTTTAATAGAAAGGAATGGAACTTCAGACTATCCACATAAACACAGTAGTTCAAAAACACTAAAGTTTCCCAATTAAATAACTTTGAAATGAGACAAGATGTCAAATGCATTTAATGTCAGTAACATCATAAACTACTTTGCAGCTTTTGGATTCAACCAGAAAAAGGTACTAAATAATGTAAGTAACAAAAACCATCCCAAGATGGATGGCTGTCCTGTGAAGATTATGAGGAATGATAACAGTAGACTATATTCAGGACAGAAAACATTCCCTATTAAGTAAAAGTGGAAAATAATTCCTAATGAACAAACTAATACCACTAAAGCTACAACTCTTGCAGTTAAATACTTTAAAAAGAGTATAATTGCAAAAAACAAATATAAAATAAAGAACTGACATTTCAGTGAATAAATCATGGGTAACTGTGACAATCATAACAAATAAGACAATCTGAATAAGCACTGGAGATGTACATCATACTTATTTAATGTCTTAACTTTTTTAAATCAGGGCTCGGTCCTTGGGACCGACCTTGTAACCATTTTGTGCTTGTTATAGTTTTCATGCTATAACTTTTAACTTAATAAGTGAATGTTAACAAAATTTGTCAGTTTATCAGTAAACGTTACAATGCTTTCATATGCAAAATATCTAAATAAATCTCAAGGTTTGTAAAGCAATGTTTCTTTTATGCCTTTTTTTATTTTCATATCTTACCTATCTATCATGCAAAGTAATTTTCATCTTAACATTAAAAATACTTTTGTGCATCAGCAAATTTCAAAATCTTTATAATGTCCAAATATTTATCAAACATTTCTTAAGAAAAACTTTAGTTATTTTCAGTAAATAGTCTATGTATAGGTTCGATAAATTTGAACAATCTCGCAACCACCATAAAAAATTAGGAAATAAACATAAATTATGCCTCTCTCATTCTAGAATGAACACAAATTATAATACGAAAACATAAATGTTTAACAAAATAGCTTAAATCTCATAACATAATACATTTATATATATTTATTATTTTTATTATATTATATTTCACTCATGCCTGGCTAACAATACAGAAGTTACAATGACGAGGCTCATGTACACTCATGTTACTGTATCAAATAACATAAAGGTGACCTTTGGTCTGTACAAAGTAACTTGTCTTGGCTGTGTTTTAGTAGACTAGTATTATGTAAAATACAGTCACATTTCAATTATTATATATGTATATAGATTATTACTATTTTGAAATAAGTTCTTATTAAAGTTACTTTTCCTAAAACATAGAATAGTAAATAAAGAAGTAAACCAAACAATTATCTCTTCTAGTTATGCCCTTTGTACTCGGTTGCTGCTTGATATATGTTATTAAGCCTTTTAAAATTTTGCACGTGGAGGATATGAAACGAAATAATTTTTTTAGGTTTTATATATATATATACATTTTAATAACTAAAAATCATAAATTACTATATCGATACCATAGAATTCAACTACAATTTATCGAGCTTAGTAACTGAAATGTATTTTACTATAAAAAAAATATGAATTTTCAAGCCGACTAAATACACACACTACCTCATTGAAATCTTGATTTAAAAGAACGAAATGATGCTAGGTTTGTTAGAAAGGCTTACAAAACTACTAGGAAGACATTCTGAGCTTCCGACTGGTTATTCATGTCATATATAGAAGTAAGTGTTTATAAAGTGAGCAGGGTGCCACTATGTTTGATTTATTACATGAGCAATAGCTTAGCAAGTAAAAAAGATAAGACCTTCTTATTTTATATTCTAGCTTGTCAATATCTGTAATTTGAGTTTCTCATTCATATGAAACTATAGATTTAGTATTTTGAATTCATAAATATCTAATTTAAACCAGTACTGCATTCAACGTACCACATGACACAGTGTTTTTTAATATTTACTTTTAAATTAACAAATTGAGTAATGAATAGTTCTAAAATTTGAATTGTAATCTACAGTTTGATACCTAACTTATTGACATAAATTCATGAAATATTAGTTTAATAAAATTTTGAACAAATAAGATGGCATGGCCTTTCACCTGTGACCCGTATCGAAAGGGTTAAACGACTCAATTTTGAAACCCAAAATGTTTGTAGAAATAAATGAAAGAGAATTAGTCCTCATTCTTTTGGGAAATAAAATTCCAGCAAATCTATCACTACAATCTTAACTACCTACTTGAAATAGTGGCTGTAAAACTAAATCCTACACATCCACTTGAAACAGATCTACAAAGAAAAGAAGTCTGAAGAGTTAAATAAAATACCCAGAAGACAATCCATTAGGATAATGAAATACCTTATAGAAAAAGAAACAACAGACTCACGACAAATCGAAAATGCTTCCCTTCACCCCTCCACAAAGAAAGGGACCACAGGCAATCAATTAAGTCTTCTCAGTAATTCCAATATTATGTTCTTGGAACATAAATGTCCAGAAACTATAAATTTTTTTGGAGCCAAAAAACTGATTCATAAGAAAAGTTTCAAAGTAGTGAATAAGAACCTCTTATAGCACTGAAAATATCAGAATAAGCACAAACTAGAACAACAGAAAATATTCTGCAAAGTAAAACTAAAAACTCTGTAATACAGAATTTCAGCTCTGGACATGAAATGCCACATGTTGGGGTATATACCACAAGTAAGGAGTTCGCTATAAGGATAACTATACCATCATTACGAAAGTCTAGAATAAACTTCTGAGCTCAAAAAAAAAGCAAAAACTATATATGAAGCTCAAATACTAGGAGACAGCAGAATTAAGATATTCATCAAGTCTTTACATAACAAAAAGGACAGCAATGTTTCAATTTTGATGCATAGACCACAGTGACAGAGAGACCTTTCAAGTACTAGAATAAAACAGCACACATGCCTGACACAGAAACTTATAACAATCTACAAAGAACTGCATGATCTACTTAACAAAAACTGAAAACCTGCAACAAGAACCAACTAACCAGAAGACAGTGAAATACCAATAGACCCAACAGCATTTGAGGTAAAAAACAATAGGTAAATTGTCCATGATTATCATTGAGAAATTTATAGCTACATAGTAAAAAAGTGTAGTAAAATTCAGCAAAGAAGATAAATTAAAAGCACTGCTAAACATCATAACCAAATACCAAAAGTTTAGTTTACTTTCACAAAGAGGCAAATAACAAAATACAACAAATAACATATCAAGGGAACTGACACCCATGTGAGGTTCAAATGAGGGATCCTAATTGAAGGGGTGAACTGCAATTTTAACAGCTAACTCCAAAGCTATCACATCCCCTTGGATAAATATGTACAGAGATGGAGCATCAGATTGGAGGACATCTTGTCATCTACACCAGCAGAACACCAATGCCCCACTCTCAACTGAACAGTTTTATCATTATATGTTTTGTCTATCATTATCACATTCAGGAGGATGCCTCCATGGTCCACCACCCCATTGGTTTGGAACTGGAAAGTGGAAAGGACTTCCATACTCCACTGGAAAAAAAGGGGGAGAAAATGCGGTGGAAGCTCCGAAGGAATGACAACACCAGAGACAGTGCAACACGTGACCACAAAAACCTATTTTGAAAAGCAGACCAAACTTGATTTATTTCAATCAAAGGCATGGCAAGGATGGGCAGCTTTACCCACGAAGTCCATGGGTGAGTATGGCCCAGAAGGGACATATTAATGAAGCAAATATATTACGAGGACAAACCTAAAAGTAATCTTGTGGAACACCCCATCTCAACACTGCGCACATTATGGCCATAGAAATTAGAAATAAGCAGCCAACATGCCACACCTACCTGTCACATCCTCTCTTTCAGGCTGTGTTAGTAGTTCTATTTTATGTTTAATCATATATTACCTACAACCAATAGAAAGTCAGGTTTTTATCTATCATATGACATATTGTATAGTGTTGTGTTCTGTACAGATAAGCTTCAATTTTACTCAGAGTACAAGATTCATTCTCATAGGAAGTTATGAACTAACTTAGATGAATTTCTAAAGGTCTTATCGCATGGTTAGAAAGCCAGAAAAATTTTGAGATTTAGGGGAAATTGTCTGATTTTAGCATGTTATTAGTCTATGTTCTTTGGTGCATTATTCAATTAAATACAAATTATTTAATGCACTACCATCAGTAGTATAAAATATATAGGCTTAAGTATAATTGACAATCAACAGCAAGAAAAAAGAAGATTGGGTAAGTAATTTATTTCTTGTTTTTCATGTTTATGCTTTATTTATTTTTATAAAAGTAAATAAAATGTAAAAAATATGGATCTTTTAGATTAGTTAAGATTAGATAAGGTAAAATAAATAATCATAATAATATAATAAAAATGTTTCATGTAGCACCCACACAAGCAGCACATAGATAATGTAATTCGATAGTGTAACTCGAGCTGCACGTGCCCCAATTGATTTACAACTTCTTTTGGCACAGACAGTAGTTAAACATGGTTCAAATAGCAATAAAAGAATAAAATAAAATTATAAATATATGTATACTGTTATGAATTTAAAGCTGCTTAGAATAAACTAATTTAGTTTCATGTTACAATTTGAAGTCCTGCCAGAAAGAAAAAAGGGTTATTTAGATCCATTTTGATTTTCTTTTTGGTGGTTACGAGGTCAATCAAATTGACCGATCCCATTTTGAGTTAGGGTAGAAAAAATAACAGATGAAATATAAAGTTTTACTGAAAAAAACGTTTGAAATGCATTAAGGAGGTTTTAGAGATTACACAAAGGAAATTTTAGATTTTTGAGATGAGGAAAAGTATTTTTAATTTTGGCATGAAAATTACTTTGCACACGAATTATTCAAAACAAATATTCAATATAATCATGGACAAATCTTTATTTTATTTTATTAAAAATACTTCACTAAGAAATATGACTTTTTGTATATGAAAAACTTGCAATATTAACTGAAAGACTGCCAAATTTTGTTAAGATATACACACTATATTGAAAGTTAGAAGTATTAAATCTATGAAGACTTTAAACAAGTACAAAGAAGTCATGTGGTTGGTCAAAGAGAGTTGAGAGAGTTAAACAGCCTAGTGAGGAAATCCGTAATATGAGGAACAGTGGATCAAGCGGGGGAAAAAGAGGAAGGATGAATGGAACAAGCTAAAAAAAGAAGTGACCCACTGAGACAAAGTGGATCTCCTTGCCATGGACTGGTTAAAAACCAAGCATGAAAACAGAGGATATGAAGGGCTGGATGAAACACAGGTGACTGAAGATGATGTAAAAGGAATGGAGTAAAAGAGAGGCAGAGAGAGAGAGAGCTGGAATAGCCACAGAAACCACAATTATGCCATCCAGTACAAAGTAATTAGAAGGACTAGACACAAAATGGCATGAATGATCAAGATCATCCTGTGAAGAAGATGGATGGGAGGATAAACATACAGGTATTTGTTGGTCCTATCTAGACTGAATGCATTGACAGCCAGAGCAAGAGGATGAGGAACCGGAGACCAAAACAGAGGTAATTTGGTATTGAGGGAAGCAACAAATACATCCAGATTAGGAGTACCCCACTGTAGGCATAGCCACTGGAAAACAAACTGACACAAATGCACCCAGAAAATAATACACAATGATACAAATATCAAGTGTGTGGACCCAAAAATGTAGATCCAACAACAAAGGAAACAAGAATGGGTGCTGCTTTAGTGACTGAGATAAGCCACCACTGTAGAATTGTCAGAATGGATCATGACCAGACAATTCCTGGCAAAATGAAAAAATTATCAAAGGCACGATGTACACCCAAAAGCCCCAGGATGTTGATATGGTAAGATCATTTGGCCGGAGACCATAACCTGAAGTTTCCTGATGAGCAATCCACACACCCCAGCCTTGAAGGGAAGCGTTCGTGAAGATATGTAAATCCGGATGAGGGAGAAGAAGCAAAACACCCACCGATATGTGAGCCTTATCAAACCACCAATGCAGCTCACTCACAAGGGAAAGAGAAAGGGAAATAGGATCCTCCAATGGATTCCATGCAAGATTCCACTAGTCATGCAGAGTCCACTGAAGAGACATCATATGCACTTGACCCATGGTGATAAGGGCTTCAGTGGAAGACCACATCCCCCAAAGGGATAAAACCTTGCATGCCATAACAGAAGGAGCAGTAAAGGCATGGAGAACTGGAAGTTCCATTGAACGAAATCAAAGGAGAAGGCTGGGACCAACTGAGATAAGTGTTGAAAAAGACCCACAAATTGACAAAGATATTGGGTAGGTATAAGGAATGGCTTCTCCAATTTGATTAACCAACCCACACACGTTGCCACCAGGAGCAGCAGATGAGTATGATGGGTGGACTCCTGCTTGGAACTAGCTAACAGAAGCCAGTTATCCAAATAATGATGGAAACACAACCCTGAGCATGCAAATGTTGGGCGAAAGCCTTGACCATCCAACAAAATACATATGGGGCCGAAGGGCAGGGTGAAAAATTGATAAACTTCCCTGTGATGAACAAACAAAAGTTAGCAATTTGACTAATGAGATATAGGGATATGCAAGTAGGAATTTGTGACATCCACTTGGTCATCCACAAACCCAGAGAAAAAGCCTACCTGAGGGTGAGAAAAGACTTCATGGTAAATCAAGGTAGACCAAAAATTGATTGAGGCGAGACAAATCGATCACAGGCCGCCAGTCTCCAGTTATCTTGGGTGCCATAAAGAGCTGGGAGAGAAGATCTTGTACTGCCTTGGACAAAGAAGAAAGGGTAGTTTGTTGTTACATTGACTCCAAACAGGATTCCAAAGTCTCAGGAATACTACTAAAAACATACGGCTGTAGAAAAAAGGGCCATACGCAAGTCCTGGAGATAAGTAGGTGGTAAACAAACATGGGACAAGGCTGCATCCTTCACAGGAAAATCCAACAACAGAGAAACCATGTGTGTAAGGCTAGAGTCAAAAAAGACAAACTTGCCAACAGGGAGTTATTCATGGAGAGGCAAACCCTCAGGATCTCTGTGGATTGCCTCGGAAAAGAGGTGGATGATAAACAAGTACCACTGGAGAGTCAATCTGGTAAGACAAAGGTGGAAAATTTTGGCATGGAGTAAATTAACAGGATGATCAGTGTCCACCACCACATGGAATGATAACAAAAACAAAATCAAAAAGCTGAACAAATTTGAAGAGCACTACTAAAACGTTTCGACATGAGTACTGCCAAATGAGAAGTGATAGTTCAGTAGAATCAAATAGAGGAAGTCACATCCATCAGGAGAGTGTGTCACACTTTTATTGGTGGAGGGTTGTTGCATGATGATTTGCATGCAAGACGCATTTGAACCAGTTGATTGTAAGTGTAATCTGGCCTTAATATTGCCACTTCTTATGGCACAGGAAAAATTTAATTGCATATACAGAGCAGCACTGAACAAGAATAGCTATTTATGCGAGAAGAGATAATTTACCGTATCGGAAAACAAGGGTTATAGTAAGTCTGAAACTTGCAAACAATACAGTTGACTGAACTACACAGAGCAAGGAAGCAAGCATTCCCTTATAAACAATGGAATCGAGTATGATTTAGATTTATATATATTTTTATAAATGAATTTCAGAAAATGTCAGAATTTCATGAAAATTAACAGGAATGATGTGTTTGTATTTAATGTTTTGAAGATCTTTAAATTTTTAATACAATACCTTAGATTAACTTCAAATAATGCACTGTCATTTGGATAATACTTTAGAAGTGGCAATAAATCTGTCTCCAAAACTCGAATAGTTCCAAGTTGTCTTCTGATATCGTGGGTGTCATCATCCCTTCGTAGGAAACGAATCAAGTCTTTTATACCTTCTAGAAAAAAAATATGGTAGACACATATACTGCACTTCATAGTCTAAACCAAAACGATATACTTACATGTGTAATAAACTTATACATTTCTGACAGAATACAATGCAGAGCCTATAAAAATAAACACTCACAAATAGATTTTCTAGAATCTGTGCTTAATATCAAGTAAACTGTACATTTCTAAGTAGTCATCTTTATAGCTATTACTATACATAGTGTCTAAAAATATCCATTAAAAGTTAGCTCAAAATGTACACCTTTCTTTGTAAATATTTAAAAATGTATAGTGGCCAGATGCCTGCAGATTGGAGCATTGCTAATGTTACTCCTATTTGTAAAGGTGATAAAGAGTTACACTGGAAATTGTAATCTTACTTTCTAGTCTAATAAAATAATTTAACAAAATATCAAATTACATAAGAGAGCCAACATGAATTTACTCAAGGGAAATCTTGTTTTACTAATCTGTTAACTTTTTTTTTTAGTATGTTACTTGTTATTTTCACAAAGCTATTTCAAAGGCTATTTGGTGTACATAACTATTCAGAAAGCTTTTGATAAGGTGCCACATAGAAGATTAGCTAATAAAATCACATCAGTGTGAGTAAGGGAGGAATAGCTATTTGGGTGAAAGAAAGCAAAAAGCTTTTAATGAAGTCCAGTAAACTGGACATTTGGTTACTAATGGTATGCCTCACGGGTCAGTGCTTAGGCCTTCACTTTTTCATCTGCAAATGAATGCTACTGATAAAGGTATATTTAGTACGCTGATGATAAAGTCTGCTGATGATCATAACCCATTGGATATTTTTAATTATATTGAGAATGTTAAGATAATACAGAATGACTTGGATCAATTGATATGTTGGACAAATTACAGTAATGTATATGATTTATCATAATTTGAGGTCACATGCTTAACATAGATGGGAACTCACTCAATAGCATGACTAAAAAAAAGGATCTTAGCAAAGTTTTATATAAATCATTCAAATTATTATGACAGTGCTTGCTACTAATACAATATAATTTTAAAAGTTATTTAGACACACCCTGATTACTCATCAAAAAAAGGTAGTTATCTAATTATTAAAAATCACTACTAATACCTCACTTAAAATAATGTGTGTTATTTTGATCTCCTTATCTAAAAAATAATACTGACTTATAAGAGAAGGTTCAGAGGATCAAAGGTTATGTTATGTAGATAGATTAAGATCTCCCATTTTCTCTTGAGAAAAGAAGAGTAAAAGGTAATTTTATTTACTAGATTATTAAGAGTGATCGGTGCTACTATAGCGTGAGGTCTACCGCCATATGTCGCCTACCCAGGTCTATCAAACATGTATAAAAATTTATCAAATTAAGTGTTTATCGCTAAAATAAATGTATGGAAATGTGTGATATCCATGAAGGATGGATAATGCAGCGGTAGACCTTACGCTATGGTACTAACGGGAGGTAGACCTCACGCTATAGTGGCACCGAGTGATCAACATAATAATGGCCTCTGATTTCTTTGTGCTATATTCTAAAGAAAACTGGACAAAATGACACATGTTTAAGATTTGGAAAATACAGACTAGAATGCAGTTATGACAGTTTTACTTTTCTAATTATGGTGACTGACTTCAAGAATGAGTTGCTGTTGACAGTAATGAAGACCATCACTTTACAGAAGTTTATGAGAATAATTAATGATTTACTGGAAAACAAAGGGCATGTTTAAGTTTCACTTTTCTCAAGAATAGAAGTGCATGGATAACCTTGAAGGACCACACGGTCCTTCATTGTATACAGGTCATGTTATAAAGACCTCTGATTTCTTTATGCTATATACTGAAGACAAAAGATGAAAGATCTCAAGTGAACTTAAGATTTGAAAGACAGGCTTGGCTCCAGTTAAGACAGGTGATTAGCTAATGGAATGAGATGCTGTTGGCGATAGTGGAGGATGAAATCTGACAAGAGTTTAACAGGAGAATATATGATTTTCTGAAAAATAAAGGATGCATTTAAATTTTTACTTTTTCTCAGAGATGGTTGTACATATATGATTCTTTGTTGTCCTAAATGTTATGTTAAACAGCCCAACTTGTAGCTTCCACTTTTAATTTTTCTCTATATTATAATTAATTGCTCAATGTAAAATGATGAATAAAATTAAACACTTTCTGTTCTTATGCTAACATATTGATCTTAAAGAATTTTCAGGTATTTGAGAATGTAATGCTAAAACAAATGGCACACAACTGTCTGCCTCATCATAATTGCAGACAAAAATGGTAATTAATTACACTCATCTATTCTTTGTTAAAAGCATTTGAATCATCAATGACACTTATACTTGAAATTCGTATTCAAATATCATTTAATTACTAAGTTGTACTTAAATATTTTCAAAAATGAATAGATAATTTATTTACTATTATTCTAATTCTGTAAATTAACAGGTCAACAAATTTTGCAACACTATTGAAACACCAGAAGACAATCCTTTGCCTCCTATTTCTTGCAAATGCAAAGTGAATAATTGCAATCATTGTGGATGTGACAACAACAAGATATCCATTGCAAGAAAGTCATCAAGAAAAAGAAAAAATGATATATCCAAAAAGAATATAAAGAAAACTAAAATTGAAAAAATTAAAGTTTCATTCTCTTTGAAAGAAAACTAGAATTAGTAGGAATGGAAAGAAACTCTCTTCTTCAAAAGTCTTTGATAGTGAATATGGTGATTCATATATTAACAAACCTCATCCATTGTTCCCTTTGCTAAAATATTTTTTAAAGGACATCTCTTACTCAAAATCAAATACTTCTGATTACTTTTGCACTGAAAAACCTAACCTTATAACCAAGTTTCCATAGAAAATAACAATCGACCCTCATCAAAATAGATCAACATTAACAACCAGTTTGGAAATTCTAACCAAATCAGTTTAACTCGAAGTTCATGTGTTGGTATAATATTTGGTTTCTTTAGACCCAAGTTTAAACTATACAATACAAGAATCAAGTGAATAATTAGTACTACTTGGATCTTATGTTGTGATAACTTATAACCACATTTTGAGGATTTGGACGTAATTAATTGCGAATTCAAGACTTAAAAAAAAAGGAAAACTCACCAAAACAATCTGGTTCTTTTATGTATTCTTTCTGGTCCCAGCTTCCTAGAGAATGGCAAGTTGCGAGTAAATCCGCATTGATCAATGCGGTATCGGAAGTATTCATGGTTTACTTAAATTTCACTTTCAATCGTGGTAAAATCTAGCAGAAAACGAATGAAAAAATCTAAACATCATAAAAAAATCAAATAAAAACAGAGACACACATCTAAAAATGAGACTACTAATATCTGTACTGCCAATACTAGTTGGTTAGTTATCGAACTGAAATCATGAAATCGCTTTGTTCAAGTTTAAACTTAAGTTAACTTAAACTTCACCACATATAATTATTTAGTAGTTAATTATAAGACAGTATAAAGTAAATTTTCATATTATGCATGCACCATAAGCAGAAGAAGAGAAAAAAATACAAACATTTATGCTATTGTTACCACAAGCGTATAGATATTTGTATATATACACGTTTGTCACCTCTTTTCTTCTTCACAAATAAGGCGCGAAATGCACAGCTGACAATAACAACTCCAAGCGCTCTCTATTCTATACACAATTAAAAAAGAAAGAAAACTAATGAATTTTACAAATGCTCAGTTACTGCCAGGTGGAATTTCAAAGACTTTTTAAACACTTTATATATTTTGCGAATATACATTTAGTTACATTTTCTTTAATTTTTAAAGTCAAATGTGTATGAAAATATAGTTTTGGATTTTTACAACTATGTTAATTTTTGCATGGTATCCTAGTGTGTTATAACCACTGAATTTTTTCTTATAGATTTGAATAATTAATAATTAGTATGTTTGAGTACATTAATTTTATTTATACGATTGTCTTTAATAAAAGTTTCATATAACTTAAATAGTATATACTATTAATTATTATTTTCATAAGTCCAACTTTTTAACAACAGCTATTTATGTAGTGTTGTGAAGCTCTTTTGGGCAAAAATAAATAAATTTATTTATTAAAACCAAAGGCTATCAAGAGAGGTTGCTTTCTTTACTCATTCTGTTCGAAGGCCAAATGCGCACAGATGTTTAACGTACCGGTCATGGATCTGTGGTTCGCATATCGTTACCGCTGTAAAGGAAAATCACATTTCGCACTTTAGAGCTGTGGATGCGCTACAAGATTGACAGTCAAGTTCCACTATTCGATTAAAAGTTGGCGGTAGGTGATGTTGACTAAGTACCTGCACTCTAGGATATCATTTCACAATTACGAATGGCAAGCCAGATATCCATCGAGCAGCTTTGCTCGAAATTCAACAAACAATAATGTTCTTTTCCTATTTCCTGAATACGCTTGGACACCTTTAAAACACTTTGAACTTGTTTGTTTGTTTGTTTTTAATTATGCACAAAGCTACACAAGGGCTATCTGTGTTCTGCCTACCACGGGTATCGAAACCCGGTTTCTAGCGTTGTATATGCGCAGACATATTACTGTGCCACTGGTGGGCCACTTTGAATTAAATATTTCAAATAATAATTCAACAAAAATTTAGGTTAAGCGTTTTCTTCTTATTTAATTTCTAATTCATAAACAGTAATTACATCAAAGAAAATATTATTGTCTATGAATATAACTTAAACCAATCAAACATTATATTTATCGTAAACCACATAACGATATCTATCAGCAAAACTTTATAGCATAATTAAAAAACCCAAGTCAAATATTATTTTTTATAACAAAACGACATGATACTGGAAAAATAAATATTTTTAAATAATATTTTAAACCACAGCATAATATTCTCCCTCCCTCTATATTATGAAGTCCTTCATACATTTTTGCATAGTCATTACATATTACATTGCGGGAAGCAAGATGATTATATTTTTTCCTTTTTTTTTTTTTTTTTTTTGACAATGAAATAGAACATCTTAAACATTAGGAATTTCACAGTAGCTCAGGATAATCAATTTTTGATACCCTGGTCTATTGAAGTCACTAATGCATTAGTAATTTTGGATACTTTATTTTTGCCAAAAAAGCATGAAATTTTGAAGGGTTTATTTCCCATATGGTATAAAAGATCACTTATAGGGTTAAATTGTCTTCGATAGAAGATTTCTTGTTTGGAAAAATTATTATGTAATTTCGTCGCTTCTATAGATGACCAAGGAGCTATCTTATCACAACGTTGCCCTTACAATTAGACAATATATTTTGGCTTTACACATCCGACTTAACTTTATGGATATCATTTCTTCCTTTTTTTTATATATACTCGATTGTATGACCACAACATATTGTAACAATGGAACCCAGATTTGGCAGAACTGAAATCATATCCTCTCTACAATTTGACTTTATCTTCTCACAGGCAAATCATGTACAATGTCAGTTTTTCTCTCGAATCAGAAATTAATTCTTCAGTTTACTTTGACATCCTTTCCTGGAGATAAACGACGTCTAATGACATATTCAATTGTTGTCCGAACTTGCTATTCTGAGATTCACTGATTTACGTTTGAATGCTGGAGTAGGATCTATTGAATAACTGGAGGTTGACAGAAAATGTTTTGCAGAGCAGAATCTGAATTTTTCTAATAACGACGGAGCAAAGAAAAAAAAAACTGGACACAATGTATCTCACAATGAACAATCTTTATTCACAAACACAATCAGAATTCTTAGAGTGCAAATGCATTTTAACACCTTTACTGAAGCATGTTATATCTCAAGATAGTTTTTCTTTAATTGCCTTTTTCTGAACATAGCATTATATAGGGAAAACGACATGCTATTCTCCTCGGGAGGCAGATGCAACCCACATGACTGGTGGCAACTCTCACTGCAAAACAAGCGATGTTGTATCCTTGGAGGATCACCTGACTTGCCAGAAGAAATTATCACTGTCACTTTCTGTACATGATGCACTAGGTTGCATAATATTTCCTAAGAGAAGGCACGCGTAATATCCTTACTGAATGAATTAGTTCTGCGAGTAATTAGAGTGAGAGGAATTTAATGATTGCTGATTTGGTATGTTAAAAATATATGCTCAATGGGTACCGAAATTTTGAAGTTATATGTAAAACATATGATAAGCTTGCATACGACACCAATATGATAAATTAATGTAATATTACTGTTCATCAGTATAAATTAAGAGCCTTGTTATATGATATGTCTAAGCAAATAGACATGATATAAGTTTGTTTGTTTGTTTGTTTTTAATTATGCACAAAGCTACACAAGGGCTATCTGTGCTCTGCCCACCACGGGTATCGAAACCCGGTTTCTAGCGTTGTAAGTCCGTAGACATACCGCTGTGCCACTGGGGGGCTTGTTTGTTTGTAGTTAAGCACAAAGCTACACAAAGGGCTATCTGTGCTCTGCCCACCATGGGTATCGAAACCCGGATTCTAGCGTTGTAAATCCACAGACATCCCGCTGGGCCACTGGGGGGCTCATAATATAAGATACGATTATAAAAACTAACTGAGGAACAATAATTTATTTTTGGATTGAGGACTCAAGCTCACTCAACAGACGGGAATAATTGTATCATTCTGGCTACTCCTGGACAATTAACTAGACACTAATTAAAATAGTCTAGCATAAAGTGTTTGTTTGTAGTTAAGCACAAAGCTACACAATGGGCTATCTATGCTCTGCCAACCACGGATATCGAAACCCGGTTTCTAGCTTTGTAAGTCCGCAAACATACCGCTGTGCCACTGGGGGGCCAGCAGAAAGTGAAAGTGAACTTAAATCTAAAACAAAATTCAAATCAAAGAAGGAGTCAAAATGAGCAGAAAAATTAGTTTGCAACACATCTACAAAGATAGAGAGACTGAATTAAAAGGGGGAAAATAAAGGATAAGTAGAAAGGCAAAAAAAAACATTAAATGGGTTGGTAATTAGAAAAAACTTCATTTATATGAACAGCAATTAAAGATATTAAAGATAGATTTATCAATAGAATAAAAACTCTCCGTACTGTAATAAATTGCGAACAATCTTTACTAAAACAAATTTTGAACTCGTCGTAAATTCATCACCCAGCCTTCCGTATTTTTTTTTTTTGATTCCATTTCATTCTAATTTCGATTACTGTCAAGTTCAGTAAAATTCCTACATAATAGTATAGGAAGCACAGAATGGTTTAAACGACTCAAAACATAACACATACATATATATATATATTGTTACGACAGCGGAAGTCATGCGACGCTGGAAGCATGCGCGCTGGAGTTTCTAGAAGGATCATGACTGTTCCTGGCAACTCTAGTCTTTTCCAGGCGCTCTCTATTTTAGTATATAAGCCCGGCAAATAATTGCAGATAAATGGGTATAGAGACAGATAATTGAGTCAAGTGAGCGGTAGTGCCCTTAAGTAAAGTGCGTGAATCGTTGTGAATTATAGCGTGTGTTGAAGCTAAAGTGACTGTGGAAATTCTGTGTATTGCAAAGTTGAATTGAGAAAGAACAAACTAGTTTTATTTAAGAAAGGACTTGTATCGCTGAAGTTCCTCGGGAAGAATTTATACCGGAAATTAACAAAGACCAGAGACGTAACAATATGAAAACAAATAAAGGTGATAATTTTGTTATATTGAACAAAGAAGACTATATCTCTAAAGTTGAAATAATTTAAATTGTAATTCCAAATTTATGAAGTTAAAATATAATCCAAAAACAGCGAGAGAAGCATAATTGTAAAGGTACTTGTTACAAATGAAGAAAGATCAGGTTATCACTGTAGACGCATACAATAGTAGTATCATACCAAGAGATTTAATTTTGGTATTTTGTACAACTTAATAAACATTTATAAGAAGTGGTGCCCAATAAGACTGATTAATATGTGTCTACCATAAGAACCTTTAATTACGCTTTTCTCTAATTTCTTGAAGCACTTCTTAAACACTTTACTATAAATGAGTTTGCTTTGAATGATAGTAGTATATTTGTAGAACGAACTAAACATCCAAGTTCCTGTGAAGATATATATACATTGTTACGTCTCCGTTTGTTAATTGATTTTCCGTAAAT